GACAATCTTCAAAAACACGTGACCATACAAATTTTATTGCATTTTTGATTGGAAATTTTTTTCTCAAAAAATGGCGGAATAGATGATCTGCACCGTAGTAAAATGTAAACATAATCCCGTTCATTTAAATGTCGTTCCCTTTTATAACTCCTAATCTTTCAAATATGGGATTGATTATTAATAAAATATTAATTTTTTGAGCAAAAAAATGTCATTACCGTTATTATTTATTCCTAGAAATCGCAAAGTAGATTTTGATATTGAAATAACAATAGAAGAACTTTTAAACGTTCCTTTAATAACAGGACTTTATTATGTAAAATGGAAATTCAAGCATGGAAGAGTAAATGCAAATAGTAAGACTAATAGGTAATAATAATGTATTATGATAATGATGATAATATAACTGAGGATAATAATTTTTTCATTATCGCTATTATTATTTTAGGGCGCCTATTAAAGATCATTCAGTGCGCTGGCAGTATAAAATACGGAATTCAGTACAACTTGTTATAGGTAAAGATAATTTTTTATTACCTTGTGAGTTGCATCTATCAATAAAACAGGTAATTTGAGAAAAAATTTATAGTTATGATTATAATTATAATTATGGTGGTTGGTTTTATTTGCTGATTGATTTCAAATAATTAGGAGTTAAATGGTGGCAAAGAAGTTAGTAATATTGGAAGATTAAAAATCAATCTTTCTGAATATGTTGGGTTCCACATAATAACTAGACATTATTTATTACATGAAAGTAAGATTAATTCTACATTAAAGGTAAATAAATATTTTAAAATTCATTTATTTAATTATTTATTTTAAAAAGAATTTATTCATATTGTTATTATTATTATTTTAGTTATCAATTAATATGAAGAAAACTTTTGGGGAATTTTCCTATAAAGTGTATTTATTATTTATTAATTATTATCATTATTGTTATCATTATTTTCTTAAGAAAATTTATTTTATTTCAGACCTCCATTAAAGAAAACTCAAATATTTAATGGTATTGCTGGAATGATATCAGATCATAATGAACAACAAGATGATGAAAGATCAAGTAAACTTATTTATTTTGACAATGATTTTTATTCAAGTAAATTTTATTTATCACTTATAATATATTCAATTAAATATTAATAGAAGTTGGATTAAATACAGCACATTATATGACAAAATCTAAATCAATATCTTCACTGGTAAGTTCTTTAAATGGTTTTTTTTTTAAATCATTAATAATTAATAATCGATCAATTAAATTCTTTTGAAACAATGCAGAGATCTGCTTATTATGCACAAGCAAATCACACAACACCAATAATCTCATCATTTGCAGCAAATAATTTTCTTCTTAATTTTGATGGTAAATCATCAATTGATGTTATTGAAGAAATATTTATGGGGAATGATCCTAACAACGATGTTGATGTTAATGATCAGCATAGTATTTCAGAACATTCAACATAGTATCCTAATAATTAATTGGGATCTATACATTTTATAATTAGTATGATAAACAAATTATAAATATTCTTATTAAATCAATATTCTTTTAATTTTTTCGTGATATGTCTTTATTTTATATATTAATACTTAATTGTAATTTTATTATATATTGTCACCATACATGATAGCCAAAATTGTTTTTGCATTTGCCAAATATTTTGGCTACATTCTGGCTTTTCTCTATTCTCTATATTAATTATCATAAAAAAAAACTACCCAGAATTTTGGCTATTGATTCAAGGAATTCAAATAAATTTTGGCCACTATTAAAATTAATTTCAACTAATATGAAAAGTTATTTTGTCATTTTTGAATTTGGCTAACATGTATGATTGTCACCGGGGCTGGCAGCGTAAAGGGGTTAAAAACCTAATTAGTATATAATAATTGACTTAACATATGACTAAATAGTTTAGTCGGTTTAGCCAAGTGCTCATTTGAGTTACGCGGCCAGCCCTGATTGTCACATGATAATCATGTTTTACTAAAATTGTATTATATATATGTAAATAGAGATTAAAAGTGATCGACAAAATCGATTTAATCGAAAAAACCAAGTGTTAAATAAATTAACAGTAGTAATGATAATAACTAATAATAATTGCAATAGTAATAATAGTAATAGTATAGTAATATTTGAAGCAATTTTAATTTTAGAAGTCTGGTTTTAAAAATTAAATGCCATAACCTAACGAACAAATTCATACATAATATACAAATTAATATACATATTTCATTCTAAACATTATAAGCATAATAATAGCAGCGCTAATAGCAACAACACCAATAGTAGTAGTAATAAATAATAATAATAATAATAGTAGTAGTATATTAATATTTGAAACAATTTTAATTTAGAAGTCTCAACTAGAGAAATAGCCGAATTAGACAGAGATGAATTTGAATCATATAAAAACATACCCCAAGTACTTCCTGTTGAAGAAAATGAACCATTAAAATGGTGGTGTGATAATGAAAAAAAAATTCCCAATACTTGCTATTTTAGCCAAAAAATATTTGGCAATTCCTTCTTCATCAGTTCCTTCGGAAGGACTTTTCTCTGATGCAGGACAACAAATTACTTTGTTACAAAAATAGACTTAGCTCACAGTCTGTTGACCACATTCTTTTTTTGAAACGGAACAAAAAATTTGTTATAATTTTTTACCCGTCAAAGAATAATAAAAAATAAAATTTTAAAATTTATGTTGTAAATAAAACGGAATTTATTGAAGTGACATCCAATCGTGTTTTGGACATGTGACCTAGATTCTTTCATTTTATTAATACTGTAATATGTAAAAGTTGTGAGCTCATAAGCATAAAACAAATAAAGCTACTACTGCTGTACGAGGAAGTCCCTATTTTGTTGACGCGATTTGAAAAAACAATCAAGAGTCCATCATACCAAACATTATCATCTTGGTCGGTTCAAAAAGAAAGACATGTTGTTTATCAATAGCAAGATATATATGTTTTTATTATTTTATACAAATGTATTGTTGCAATCAAAACATGAAGCAGATTACAATTGGTATCATTTTTGCTTTTCATAATTATTATTAACATTAATACTAAATAATAACATAATTATAAAAAGATGTCAAAGGATGAACACAACTGCTGTTGCAGATTTGACGTGTAACATTTTATTATAGGAAATTGGCAAGCATCAACACACTATCCAACATTTACAGTCATTCTCACATTCCTCACGTCACAAAGGCTAATCTTACCAAGCTTCGCCTGATGATACAATGATGCAACTAAATTCTCAGGGAGGTGGCACACGGCCCTGGAGTTTATTGAAACTGCATCATTTCCAAGGATGTTTTGTGAATCCTACCTAACTTTACCTCACGGAACATGAGCTGGCATTACTTGGATATGCATGCTGCTGCAGGAAGAGGTTGTGATTCGGTATGGGTTTCTGGTATGTTTTGGCATTATAAGGAAAGATCTAAAATATTGTTTATTTTATGTAAATTAATTCATTAAAATTCTGTTTCTTTGATACTAACCAAATTTATAATTTTGAGTAGGGTCATGTGGTAACAGCCGGGGAAAGATAAAGAAGTTTTTGTCCATCTTATATTAAGCCTTCCAACATGTCTGATGGCTCACCTGTGGAAAAAGTTCCATGGTGCTGAGTCGTACTTAATTATGCCGTCTTGCATGGTTTGTGATAGGAAACATTTATTAAATCTGACACCTGTAATCATCATCAGATTTATTATTGATTTTTAAGGTACTACACAACAGGAAGGAAAAATTATTTTTTTGATCCTTGCCATTTATTTATTTTTTGTGAATCTCAAAGACCTGGATAGACACACATTATTGTTTTTAAATTGTATCCCTTAAAAAAATTTCATTTTCTGCATGCTTTGGTATTATGTATTACTTGGGAGATGCACTTTTTTGTTATGTCAATGACAACATTAAATGTATTATAATCATCACAAATATTTAAGGGTAGAGTTCTGTCACACGGTATATTATGAACGTCTCATGGTAAATCTCAATATTTTAGTTATAACAATTTCTGGAAATCAATAAAATAATTGACTCACGGAAAATATTCTAACATCCTAAAATCTAACAGACTTTAATTCTTTAAATTTAATTTAAACGAAGGAATTTAAATAATTGGATCACTTTAGAAATAACTTGAAAATAATTCTACACAGAAGGTTCAAGTAATACATTT